CAGAACCACATGCGTGCAAGGCAAGCACTTATGTTGCTGAGCTAAATCCCAGGCCCCTCACATGAGAGACTCTAAAATTCACTGGACTTTGTCTTTATAGGAAGTCATTACTAGCTCTTTTGATGAAAATCTTTGTTCACTGTACTTATAATTATCCTAACAATTTGGCTGATACATACATAATTCTTTCTTTTCCTTGTCTACTCAAGACTTAAGCTGTACACCTAACGAGGACAAAAATGCCTGTTATCTATGGAAATCATTAGATAGGATCTCTGCAGTGTATCCCTCACTGTTGATCAGCAAGTATGACCACTTTCAGCCTGAATAAGTAAGATCAGTCATTACTCCCTCATGGAAGTTTGGCTTACTTTTTTACAGGGAGGATTGTTATAGGTAGGTGAGTTAGATAGAAATATTATAGACAGAAATACAGGGTTAGGACTTCAAAGGATCCAGTGCAGAAGCCCAGACACCTTGTACTTAAGGAGGAGACAGACACTTCCCACTGTGGGCCAGGCATCAAGTCAAAAGATCAAACAATCCTAGTATTTTGTTTTTATATTATCTATTATATCCATCCTTTTGATTTGACTGACTCTGTTCTGTTATGTCACATTTGGTTTTACTCTCTTCCAAAAAAAATAAAAAAGTGGGAGAACTGTGGGAGTAATAAATCCCAAAATGTGCAATTGTCATTGTACAAAAGAAAGTGCTCTAAAGGATATAACTGCATATATATTTAAGACTATAGGATAGATAACCATATTACTGAGTTTTGTTGGATCATTGAACAAAACTGTTTGCAGTCTCACTGTTTGAGAGTCCACTTTGTATGCTTTGGTTTTGTGGCTTGAACAACTATTTCTAAGATAACTACATGTAATCCATTAACTAGTGATTTCCTACTGTTTATTCTTTCTGAAATTCTGTATGACCTGTACCCTTTTTCATTTTTTTATTTTTCTCCTTAAATAAAATAAAAAAAAAATCAAACAATACAAATGACTGATATTATATTTAGATCTGTATCACCCTGAGGAAGCCAGGAGTCATTAGCCCAACCCACTACAGAAAGAATCACTGCTCAGTTTGGGTCCCTGCTTGCTATATGACTTGCTTCCCCACTTGTGCCCGATTTAATCAATTTTACCTGAGTAATTACATTCATAGTCTTATAGATTGCCCATAGTTCTGTCCCACCTATGCCTACCTTGTGAGTTCCCATGTTTTCCCTACATTAGGCCTGCCTCACTTTGGTTTTTTGCTCTATAAATGTCCCTAGGAAGGATAGAGTTTTTGGCAACCCAATTGGGACCCTTTCTATCTCTGAGACAGAACCTTTCTTTCTCTCAATAAATATATTCTGCTCTTACCCTCCATTGTTCCTAAAATTCATTTGTCATTTTAGAAAACATGAACTCATACTCGACATCTATTAGGTTGAGAGTTTTAGTCTCCTATATCAAAATGATGTGGGTAAAAGAGTTAAAAGAACATGGATTCTCATCTCTCAATGAATTGGGAGAGCACCGGGCTTAAATGGAAAGGGCTCTCCCAGTCCCAATTGTGGCTCATTAAAATAGCAGACTATCTGCATTGTGTAGTCACAAATGAGGGTTTCCATGTGCTTAATCTGTTTCCAAAGTAGACAAATAGCACTCATGGCAGTGGTGATGATATTGGACACTTGTGCCACTCTGCTGAAGTGGTCACATACAGAGTGACCCCTGCATCCAGCGTTTGTGCCTCATCACATTGGAGGTCAGAATGCACAGTCCCTGTGCTCAGGGTCCTCCATCGAGGAGAGATGGAGCTGGGCTATGTGATCCATCATGTTTCACTCAGGAATCCTCAGACCCAGTGTCCTGACTCATAGACAAATCGGTACGGGTGTCAGGTCATGGAAGAATTCTTTAGGAGATCTAATTAACAGTATCCTACTTTAGGTAATGTGTAGAGCACTGGTTGAATCTAACTCGCATGCTGACCCTAGGTAATATGAGGAGTGTTTTCTGTGGAAATCTGTAGCAAGGAATCATAAAGGTCTTTGCTGCATCTTACTGGAAAGCTTTTCATTGCACCAATAGTAAATAAGAACTCCACCCCTCTGGTTGAATGAGAGTCCTCTGAAGACCAGTGCCATCCCCATCACAGCTGAAAACCTTTCACTTGCAGGCTTTGTGCTCTGCTCTGAATTTCATGTGCAGTAATGTTCTCCAACTTGCCAGGAGTTAACAGCTCCATATGTCTTCATAGAAATGCATCTTGCTACAGAAAAAAAATGTGTCAACAACAAACTATGTTCTATTTCAAGAAGGCTAGAAATGACACTACACAAGTGTAAATACCTACTGTGCAGCAGATAAAAAGTGTAAAATACTTTGAGATTAAATAAATGTATCTTCACAGAAACCCATGAACATACATATGTATGAGTACATTTCACATGCACAAAGAGAAATATGATCAGGTGAGTACCAAAAAGTCTATAAAACTTAAGATAACTTTTAGGGGATTTGTGCCCACTTCATTGAGATACTAACAATCTGCGATTTTTCTCAAATCTTGGATTACACTATTGAATGAACAAGTAGAGCATGGAGAATTCAAATTGATTTGAACAAGGACCCTGAAATGGATGTGAATAGATGCACATGGAATGTGAATTGAAGCTGTGTGTTATGCACATGCACCTATATACATGCACTGTGTGCACCTCACAGTCCTGTTATCTTTGGAACCTGTGTGCTGGTTTTCATATTCCTAGAGTTTTCTTTCATCTGCAAACACAACCAGCTCCCTGACCAGCCTTTCCACTACATGTCTGATCCTGGAGTTGGAGGTTTGGGCCTTGAGCAATGGACTCCAAGAACATTGCTCGGTTCTTAGAAGGCTCAGTCAGCATCCTCCACCCAGAAGCAAGGATAAAAATTTGTTCATCCTCTATCACCTTCTGATCTTCTTGGACAAGACTGCTTGGCAGATACAAATGTTTTTGAGCTACTGGATTAGCTTATGTTGCACATTGCCTTAATTTGTTTTGTATCTCAATATTTAAGATGCTCTCAGATATTTGTAAAGTTAGTCTTCCAGAACCTAGAATAATGCTTATTCTTTCTCTTTCTGGTGGTGGCACCCATATGTGAGTGTAGGAAAACAAAAAGGATGATGTGGAGATGTGTTCACACAACTCGCCCTGTTCTCCCACTGTTGCATCTCAGCTACTGCTGCAAGAAACCAGGCCTGGGACCATTAAGTCCTATAAATCCCTATATCTCAAACTCCCATTCTCTAGTTAGCCAAGCTCTATGATGTTGCCCCTGTAGTTGGTTCCTTCAGCTGTCAGGCCAGGAAACTGAGTGGATGTGGCAGGATGTTAATAGTGGTGGCACAACTTGTCATTCATCCCTGAGAAGTCAGCATCTGTAAAGGCAAGATCCGTTATTTGAGAAACTGTCCTTAATATTCATCAAAAACTCAACCATATTGCACTGTGCAATGCATTTACTGAAGCGATCCCAGGCACAAAGCTATGTACAGCGTGGTGGGCCCAGCAGGAGGTGCTCAGGAACAATGGCAGGTGCACAGGATCAAGAAGAGGACGCAGAAGGAGATCAGGACTGGGTGCTCAGGACCAGTTAGGAAAGCTCTGGACAAGCAAAGGGACCTGGGGATTTTCAGGGTACCAGAAGGGTATCCATAGCTGGTGGAGAGAAGGATACTCTGGACTGAAGTCTTATTGTTTAGTTTCCCCTCTGTCTTAGCTTCACACACACTGCAGAGTGTGTGCGATGCGCCTTCTCCACTTCCCAGGTGAGGTCTCCAGAGTGCAGATAATGGAAGGCATTTTGGTTTTGGCAGAACATATTTACACCTATATTTTATCATCTTCTTCACATGGCTTCCTGTGACAGGGCTGCAGCAACTTGCATATTCTGGTAAAAAAGACTGCACATCTTAAGAACATAGTTACTTGGAATACACAGTTCTCATGATCATCATGCAAAAGTAGTCTGCTATTTTTGTCACCATAAGAAGGAACTATCATAGACAGTAATAATTTTTTTAGTTTAGGGAAGAATAGAATAAAAGTATTTACAGGAAGGGAGTTTTATGGAAAAGCACAGGAGAATTAATGTGTAGATATTAAGTATCTTCTGAATGGGCATGGTTTTGTGAATATTTATTCATATACCTGTATCAAAATGTATATCACTTGTTCATCATTAAAATATACATTTAATATATATATATATATATATATATATATATTTTGCATAATATATATAATAAGTGTATATTTTTTGAATAATGTCTTACTTTCCCAGAGGTAAGAAAAGATGTCACATACTTGAATATATTTTTGAAAAAGATTCCTCTTGTGTTCTCATTTATGAATATAATAGAATACACAGTATTATTGTCATATTCTCTCTTTAGAAGAAGACATGTGACAATTGTCATGCAGCATGACTCCTCTGTCTTGGAATTGCTCAGCAAGTTGTTGAGTTCTGTGAGAAGATTGTAGGACCTCACAGACAGGATGATTTTTTTTTTTTTGTCTTTTCCCTTTTTATCGGTACCGGGGATCGAACTCACGACCGCCTGCTTGCAAGGCAGGTGCTTATGCCACTGAGCTAAACCCCCAGCCCCTGACAGGATGATTTTTAAAGCCTTTAATGTCACATCTCATAGGACATTATGCTTCTCATTCTATGTATACATCTGCAGTCTTGTGAAGTTACCAAATCCACTAATTACATATTGGTAAGAATAAAAAAAAAAAACAGATGAGTTACACATAGGAAATAACCATGTGTTCTGTATATTAGGCATAATACAAAACAAGTCTCAAAACACTTTCATGTGCTTTGAACTCTTCCTTCTTTGAGGCTTCCAGAATATAACTGTCGATATATACAGGAGGCCATGCAAATAGAGCCTCCCTGTGCTGATGAAAACCAGCCCATCCCTGACCCTGAAGCTCTGCAGAGGAGCCCAGCCCTGGATGCCCAGCTGTTCCCACTTGGTGATGGGCACTGAGCACAGACGGCTTACCATGGAGCTGGCGCTGAACTGGGTTTTGCTTTTTGCAATTTTGAAAGGTAATTCATGAAAAATAATAAATACAGAATGAATGAGTGGAATGAGTAAGATAAACAATTGGACATATGTGACAGCGTCGTGAGCAAGATGTCCTTCTGTTTACAGGTGTCCTGTGTGTGGTGCAGCTGGTGGAGTCCGGAGGAGGCTTGGTACAACCTGGAGGCTCCCTGAGACTCTCCTGCATGGCCTCAGGATTCACCTTCAGTAACTACTGGATGAGCTGGATCCGCCAGGCTCCAGGGAAGGGGCTGGAGTGGATCGCAGGCATCGATAGCAGTAGTAGTTACATACAATACGCATACTCTGTAAAGGGCCGATTCACCATCTCCAGGGACAACGGCAAGAACACGCTGTACCTGCAGATGAGCGGCCTGAGAGCCCAGGATTCCGCTGCGTATTACTGTGCTAGAGACACAGTGAGGTAATGTCACTGTGAGCCCAGACACAAACGTCCCTGCAGGGGCCCTTAGTACCAGCAGGGGGCGATGGAGATCCACCGAGTGGAGGCCTGAGCTCCAGGAGCAGGTGCAGAGCAGGAAGCTGGGGACTGAGGGCTTCATGTTGGCCTCTGCGGTTTCCTCTGTGTGTTACCATCACAGAACCGGAAGAGACCCAAAATATACAGGCTTCAGATGTCTTATGAAGTATTGAAGATTCAAGTTCAGTTATATATGTATATATATATATATATATATATATTTTTTTTTTTTGTTTGTTTGTTTGTTTGTTTTGTTTTTTCTTGATTTCTATCATACGGATTTTCTTGAAAAGGCAGTAACTGCAAAGTAGCTTGTACACGTTGGGAAGTTGTGTCTTTTGAATATCAAATTATCATTATGTAAAATGAAATTGTTATTTTTCTCATCATGAAGAGCAATTGTCTATTTCCAGAGTAATTGTTTGAGGTTAGAATATTAAACCCTTATCATCCCTTTTCATAGAGTGTGAGATCTTGCAGCTCTCTCCTCTCTTTGGCCACCTCAGGAAACCTGGACACCAAGCTCAGTCCAGCACCATTAGGAGCCCTGAACTCAGGAGAGGAGGAAGAGAAGCAGCTGGCCTGGATTCAGGGCAGTTTCCAGGAACCACGTTGAGCTCTTTTTGCAAATACTATCTGGCTGGAATTTTATTTACATAATTTAGATATTATGAATTTATGAAATATACCTTGCCATTCTTTTTTGGCTTCCTTTCCTCTGTCTCTCTCTTTCTCTGAAATACACATGCATAAATTTCAATCTACGTCAGCGTAATAAGAGACAATATGAAGATAAAATGATATTGTTTCATAATATTCACTTTACTTTCTAAACATTGTCAAACATGTGGCTTTATCCTTTTTTATTTTATGTAAGTTCATTCTATATTCATTAGTCACATATCTTTTCCTAATTTTTGTAAGATAGATACAGTTCTGTCCTGACTAACATCATCCTTATTGTCATGATGTTCTGTGAAGCACGTGTCCACTGAGCAGAAGGAAATTATTTGAAACAAACAATCCCCACACATGCAGGTTTCTTGAAAGCAGAGCTGAGATGAACACTTCACACATGAATGTCATACATATGTATCATGTGGCTGTGGTCTCATGGTCATCCTGGGAAGCTAAATCACCTCCACCTCCTCACCCAGCTGTGCACCTCACCTGTGCTATCACCATCACTGCCTGCCTTGGTTTCAGGAATGAGAGTTCCTGTTTCTAATGGGATTCCACATGCACCTTTTGTTTCTAGCTCAGGTGAGAACACCTGTTAGAACATGGTTTAATTGGTATGAAATATTTTTTGTGAGATTCAGATCTTACACATGTTTATCCCTGAGTTCATTAGAGTAACACTAAAGGTTGTAATAAACCAAAGTTTGGAATTATGACATTTAAAAATATGATGTTTTAAAACTAACTAGGCAACATTAGTTATGTTGCCAAATTTGTTCCCACGGTTATATTTAGCTCATTAGCATCAAAATAACATGGCACAGACAATAAAATTTAAGCCATCAACCCAGTTGTGTCCCCTATTTTTGCATACTGCCATATGACTGACTCGCATGCACAGGCTTTTATCAAGAGAAATGAGCTGATCTTATTTGACTAAGTGACCATGACGAGGCTCTTTCTGTGCTTTAGACTTATTAAAATATTTAAAAAATGAAAACGAAAGACAAAATGACTCTTTTCATCTTCTGTTTCTAGAGAAGCACCTGAAGTGCCAAGTGGGTGCCTGTGCCACTGAGCTAAGTCCCTAGCCCAAAAGAATAAAATTTTACATTTCCTAATATCTATATTTTATTTCTGGACTAGCACCCTTATTTAGTAAAAATATCTGCTACTCACCCATTTCTTTGTATACACTCCACTTTACCTACAGTTTCATTCCATGTCCTCAGCCCAAGAGCACACATAAAGGAAGATGAAAGGTAGTTTTCTGTCAGTATAGGGGATTTCTCTGTGTAAGACTTATCTCTGGCACTCTTATTTCATGTATTTTCTCATCTCCGAGTCTCAGCTAGACAAGTAGATTTTGAGTAGAAGAGCCCATTCTCAAAGGACTCCAGTTATCACTTGTGTCCAAATGACTCTGCTGTGCTCATCTGGCCCAGGTTCCAGTGAAGCTCAGGGAATCGAGTAACTGTCTGGATGGAAGCTGGAGCCACAGTGAGAGGCAGGCAGTGTGAGCCAAGCCACAACCCTCACCTCTGCAGGGATCAGGACCCACAGACCCTGCTCCTCACAGCCCAGGGGTGTGCCGACCTTCAGAGGGAGCTGAGGAGCACTCAGGGTGATCTTGTTCCCCAGGAGCCAGCCCTTCCAGGTCCCAGTACAGGAGCAGCTGCACGGAGACCCTGGGGGGACTTTAGCTGTTGAGACCCCAGATCCTCCTCTCTCTTTATCCTTCTGTGAACAACTTCCTTCTATGTAAATTGAGTAGTGATTGGTCCTTTATGTTGTTCATTGTGTCATCTTTTTATTTTAAATAGCATTAAAACAGAATCAAATCAATCAATCAAAACAAAGCAGTCTAAGAGATACAAGACTTCAAAACATTATGAAATTGAAAACAGTTACCACAATGCCTTTTGATGTCTTTAAAATAGCTGCTGGTACCTTTGAACATAGTAAAAATCAAACAGAACAGAATAGAATCAAAACAATAAAAATGAAATAATGAATGCCATTAAGGATTTCAAAACAAGCCAATAGTAAATCTAAAATTGCTACCATAATATATCTTGCTATCTTTGAAATAGCTGCCCCCGTTATTTGATTTTACAGAATCAAACAAAACAAAAGAGAAAAAAAATGCAACCCAACAAAGCAGTGGGAATGATATAGGAGATTGAAACAAGACCATAGGGAATCATCAATGGCTACAACCTTCAGAAGCAGATCCCCCCCCCCAGATGCCACATTGTGGACTGCTATCCTCTGAATCTATGATTAGCGCATTGGCCCTAGCATCCTCAATGTTAGTGAAACACCAGAGCACCACAGTCATCCAGTTGCCTTTCACCTTCATAGTTATTGTCACAGCCTGCGTTTCTCCAGATAAGTTGGTCGCTGAAGGGGTTGATACCCCTTACTTGCCAGCCCACTCACTGGAAGGGGCTGGTGTCTGGCCATTCCCAGTCTGGTGCTGGTTTCCACACATAGTGCTGGTTCCCAGACTGGGCTTGTTTTCTGGTGTGGCCATTGTTCTCTGCCCTCCTCTTTCATTATATCTTCTTCATACAAATTTAGCTGTATATCATTTTAAACTATAAATCTGTGAAAAAAGGACAAACTTATTGACATAATTTAGATATCAACAATTTCATCAATTAAATTTTCAAGTGCTCATGTTTTGTCAGTGTGTGTTATTAGACCTGCAACCACCAATACAATGTCAGTCTAAATCATTTTCCTAAATTTTAAGGAATCCAAACATTTTTTTTTTTTTTTTTGCTGGCCTTTTGTGTTCCTGATATTCCCACACGCTGACCCAGTCACAGAGCATAAATCTATTACTAAACTATGGACTTGCTGTTGTGAAAAATTTTCTTAAGCTTCAAGTAATAAAGGGTGCTTCTATCTACACTCAAGGATTAGGAAAATGATTTTAGATGTTTGCATTTTATGCATATTGTATGCTTTGTATAAAAGTGACAGGAAACAGACATACTGATGAATATGTGGTAAAATCAGAGCCCTAAAAAGGGTGATTATTTTGTTCAATTTCTCAGCAACTGTACAAGTAATTTAGTATCCTTTAAATTCATCAAATTAATTTTTCATATGATTTATGTCAGTGGATAATTAGTAGTGTTGATAGAGCACAATTGTGCAAAATTGTGTGAGGTGACGTTCCTATAAAATTTCTTCACAATAACTAAAATTGAGAAACTGCCTAAAACTCTACTAGAGAATTTCATCAAAGAAATTATATCCACGTATGGGATACATTTCTTTCAAGAAATGAGAATACTGTTCTTTTATTGTGTGAATATGCATTTAAATTTACTAGTGCATGAAAAAATCACTTCTTGTGTGACTGTGGTGACAATATCATCTACATTTTTCACATCATTGCACACAGGAAATAGAGCTATGGCTTCCAGGGACTATGGTGACATGAATTAGACAGTGAATTATTAGCAATAGTCATCAGTTTTTTATGGTGAGAAACATGCATTTTAAGTATGGTATTGTACAATCACAAATGATTTAATATGTGAAATCTCATTCAGTTCCATATTTCAACACTGATCTTACTGCATGAGTGTAAAATTCATGCAGAATTCATGAATATTAAAAAGATATGACACATAATACATTGCTGGAGAAAACGAACAGTGCAAAAACATAACTTGAAGTTCAAGATATATTGTAAAATCTCAGTAATCCATTGATGTGGACACCATGCAAAGGTGATAAATATAGTACAGAAGTAAAGGGATGGTCTGCACAAACCGCCCAAAGTAGTTCATTTCTGACAATATAATGGTTGCAAAGAGCAGCAGGATAGGGTATAGTATTATCTCAAAGGAAAGGAAAATTCATCAATTTGAAAATTTCCCAGACTCACCAAATGACAAATGGCACTAAGACTTATTAGAGTGAACACTGAAGTCAAGTGAAGGGAACATGTGGAAAGGAGAGCAGCAGAGACTGAGAGAAGCCAGATGCTGCTCAACAGAAAAATAGAATGGCACTATGGGAGCCTGTCACTCCCATCACAGCCTCAGGGTGCAGGGATGTGAGAGAAGGCAGGTCATTGATTACTGACATGTGACCACAGTCTCACTTCTTGAGAGTCAGCAGCAAGTCTTGGGACAAGTTACCACACTAATCTACAAGGGTAGCTCCTGTGTGTTCAGGGAATGTGTGGGCTCAACTGCTGCTACTGCACAGATCACATACGTCCAAGCTGTCCCCAAACACTCACTCCACAGATGTGAACATTCCAAGAGGTGCCAACATCTGGCATTTAAAGCAAGCACTGGACATCTGCAAGCACAGACAAGAACCACTGCAGAAGGTAGGACACTGCAGAGACCCCACAGAGGCAACCCCAGCACAAAGGTGGGGTGAAAGCCAGCACAGAGAGATGCCCAAACACTGTGCATCAAAGACCCATGTTGCTATATTTGACACAAGACTCCTGGCCTGCAGAGCCTTCGGCATGAAAGCTGGTGCAGGAGCCAACAGGCCTTAGCTTGTGCCCATATGCAGTCAGGTGACAGTTGCAGCCACAAGAAATGTAGATGAGATGCCAGGTCCTTCTCACCCAGTGACCTAAAGTCACAGTAACACGAAGTCACAGCGACACGAAGTCACAGAGGACTCCTGTTGTTATTAAGGATACCTGATGCTCTAGCAGGGTTTTGGTGGTGTGTGGGGCTTGTTACTCCTTTCTGTCACCTCTGTAGATTGGGAGTGTCCAACCAATGCCAGGGCCACCACCGTATTCAGGAAGCACTTAACATGGATAAGTTTATAAGTACAAACTGGTACAGTCATACCCCAAAGCTGATGCAATATTTATATTGATGCTATTTATTTTTTGGTAGCAGGGATCGAACTCATGACCTCTCGTTTGCCAGGCAGACGCAT